GTGGGGGGGGGGGGGGGGAGGGGGGCACGCAGAAAATAATATGTACGGCCGAGAGTGCTGCGCGTCACCGAGGAGGGCTGTCGGGCGGGTAGCAGTGTCGTGTCCTGAACGTACGACGAGAGAGTCATGGCGCAAAAGAACTTTTGTCAACCCGTGCCGGCAAGGGCTTGGTTGCTGCTTTGCTTTGGCAGAAACATACCGAACCACGCCAAGCCTTCTGACAGGAGTAGGAGTGTTCACGTCGGTCGGCAATTTTCGGTGTTTGCGGCGGTGGGATGTCGGCACGACTAAATCTGTGGGAAATTGTTTCGGAAACCGTTCTGGGGTGGTTTTCTGAGTTGCAGGGCCAATGGCTTGCACGTGGATGACGCCAGCGACTTCAATCGATCCGTCGATAGATGGTTTGGAATGTCGGACAGACGTGCGGTGACTTTGTGCCCGATGCTTGTCTCGTGTTGCATACACTCTTGCAAGGGTAGTATTCTCACCGCTATGGTTCCTCCTCATCCTGCCGCCAGTGTTTGTCTCTTAACTCTCTTGTCGGTACCTGCTACTAAGCTCGCCTGGCAAAAGTCAAGTCGTCGTACCGTGACTATTATAGTCAGTTGCGAATGCTGCGGAGATACAGGGCAAGGTTAGGACTGATGTTGTGCTGTTACAGGGGAGAGGTCAGGAGTGTCTACATCTTGGGAAGACGAAAACAAGAACAGACACACTGCCGTCTCGCTTGGCTTGGTTGGCTTCACCGAACATGGTCATAACTCTGACTTCTTCATCCCCACCTCTCTCTCTCTCTCTCGCTCCCTCTCGCGCTCTGTCACGGCAGGGTTGATTTTGTTGGTAAGAGGGTTGCTGCTAGGCAGGATGTGGACCCTGAGACCAACGAGAGGGCTTCCCTGTCTCACGCGAGGTGAGTTGAGCCTGCTCATAGCACGAGTCATACTACAGCAGTAGTTCTACGGTTGCCGTTGCTGATGTTTTTCTTCCTGTCTACGGTACCGTTGATGTCTAATGTTTTTTTTTTACACTGCAAGGTGAAGTGTTGAACGCCAACAAACCGCTCAAAGTTTTTCCAGATGCAAGACTGGCCGAAGCGTGAGTTTCTCGCCAAGTACGGTGCACGAAGGGCCAGGGTATGCGGTACGCGTACATTCGTGTGTGTTTGGCTTCTCGTCCCCGTTCTTTCCATAGTGCCTGCTGAGATCGACACGCATGGCTACGCCGCAGTCTCCCGCCGAGCAACCCCGTCCTTGCCGGACCACCTGATGACATCGACACGCACGTGACCGCGCCCTCACTCTTGTCGCCGCGCCGCCTTACAGACCAAAGCAAGGCCGCTTGGGGGAAGAAGCGATGGCACCTAAGGGTTGGGTTCTTCGCTCTCGACGCGTTTCTCGGCCTCTTCGCAGCGGTGGTTACGGCGTCTCTCTTCTCGACTGTAGCTAAGGTGAGAGAGAAAGACAGAGCTAGAATGACACCTGTTTCGGATGGGGGGGGGGGGGGAGGATAGCTGCGGCGTTTTTTCGGATGTGTGTGTGTGTGGGTACTCATGTTTTGCTCAGCTGCGGTGTTCCGAGTGAAAGTGGGACTCGCGAAGCGTCGTCGCTTTTGTCTCTCCACACGCTCCGGCGAAATTCGTTCCTCTGTTGTTTCGATGAGTTCATTGCCGTTTGTGCGCGGCGGCATAACTGTGACGGCACCGGGACCTGTTTTTGCGCAAACCCTCGGTGCTCGGACTAGCTAGGCGTGTGACTACATCCAAGCCTCTTTGCCTGGCGCACTCAATCTCTCTCTCTCGGTCTCTCGCATATCCGAGAGTCACCCGTCTATGGCGTTGTTTCCGCGTGGCTCACGCACCTCCTGCTTCTACAAATAGCGTACCAGAGTCTTTGGCTTTCGCCTTGTTGCTTTTATCACCTCCTTGTGTGCGCGGAGGCCCAGGGTGTCAGCTCCTAGTGTACAGCTCACCAACCTCGAGACCCAACCCGTCTGGTTCATCTTCGTGAAGTGTATACAGCCTGGACCGGCGAAATCACGGAAAATATCACTCCGTCCCGGCATTGTAGGGATGCGAGGTCAATATTAGAAAGACGGCGGCATGCGTTTACATGTGTACACCCTCCCCCCTCCAACTCCTACAGCTCACCATCCTCGGTACCCCCTCTCGCCCCCCCCCCCCCCCCCCCCGCGGTTTGAAGGGGACCGGCGGGGGGGCAAAAACCAACTACTACGCTCTACTGTTCTACACGGAACACACGCTAAACGGGCAGGTGTGTTTATGATGATGATGTCGAACTTTGGCTTCGTCCTCTCTTGTCGCACGACCCGTGTGTCGTGTTGAAACAACGTGCTGAGGAAGATGTCGTGCTTTTCCCCCGCCCTCAGCTCGACTCTCGCAACCCCCCGTCTTGGTTGAGCAGGGTTGTCCGCCTCGGGGGCCGTGAGGAAGATTGTTCTGTAGGCGCGTTGTTGTCTATTCAGAAGGTCGCCCACCTGGTGTTCCTCACCCCTTGCGTCGTATTTTTTTTTGTATGTTTGACCCGTGCTGTTTGGCTCGCCTAACCTTGCCGTATGCACCGCAGCACGTCTTAGACGCAATTTTGATTGTTCTTGTTGTTCGCTCGCCGTGCGTCTTTGAGGACTTCCATCATTGGCCGTGTGTACCCTAGCAGTACGTCTTAAATCCATGTTTCATGGTTGTTGTTGTTGTTGTTCGCTCACCTTGGGCCTGTCTCCAATCATCGGTCGTATGTACCGCAGTGCCACGTCTGTGATGCGTGCTTCATTGTTGTTCTTCCTCTTGTTGTTCCCTCTTATCTCGCCTTGGTCTTTTGAAGGACTACCATCATTGGTCGATCACGAGCTGGCCATCCGGTCACGCGGCAACGGCGATGTCGGGGCTTGTTTTCCTCGCCTACGTGCTCTGGAGCGACCTGGTCGCCCTCGTCATGGTAAGCCCTCACGCACGGAGGAACCAAGGGGCAGGCGATGGGCCGTTCGGCTTGTCGTGGTGTTTTTGACCCGGTGTGACGTCCGCCGATTTTGGTTTTCATCGTGACAACATTCCCTCCCGAGGGCGCGCGTCATTTGTTGTTTGGTCTCGTGGCACTCATCTCGTGTCCACACTCTAATGAAATGTCAATGCTCGTTCATCTTGGGTTGGCTTGGCTGCCTCGCTAGTCTCTGACACGGGCCTCTCGTGTGGGGTCTCTGTCGCGGAGCCCGTCAAGGGGGGGGGGGGTACCGTAAAATTGAGAATCGTCGCACTCCCCGTCGACGGACTTTCGTAGCTCGGTACGGCAGCCCCTAACAGGGCGTTGCCGAATAGGCGGAGGTGTTGCAAAGATTCTCGTCGGGAGCTTGCCTTGCAGGCGTCGGTCGGCTTTCACACCCTCGTAGTTGTGGAGCAACCGATCTTTGCTGGATTTCGGGGGCGCGCGCGGGGGGGGGGGGGGGGGGGGGGGGGCCCCGGACGCCCAAGAGACGCGCGGCCCCA